GAAGTCAGGACCTGTGATTCAGGCAGCAGGGAGGTGGCAAGATGGAGCTTGTCCCCTGTTGCATGAATAATAAAAACCCAGAGACAGATATTGGAGTTCAAGATGAAGATCAGAAAAGCAAAGCAGCCAGTCACTGACTCTTACCTTTACCTCAGACCAAAAATGGGTGATCCTGCCTCCAGGAATCTGAGACTAAGCTGAGACCTGTCTCCTCCTGTTTTATTTCCTCTCTAGTGCTGGGATTAAAAGCGTGCACCACCACCACCTGGCCTCTATGGCTAACTAGTGTGGCTGCTGGGATTAAAGGTGTGCGCCACCACTGCCTGGACTGACAAGCATGGCTGCTTTGATCTGATCTTCAAGCAAACTTTATTTATTAATAGAGTCTCTCCGGTTAGTACTGGGATTAGGAAGCTTGGTCCTGGAAAGGAACTCAGGGTCAGTGTCCTGGTAGGTAGGGGTGTCCTCTGCAGATCTTCATGGTCCCCAGAGATCTGGTGTTTCCTGAGTCAGCACTTACTCAGTCCCATGAGGCAGATGTCTAAAGCTATAGGACAAGAGTCGTGAATCATCAGTATAAAGATGTCTGAGTCCCACCATGACTCAAAATATCTACATCTGAGAGGCCTTGGGACCCAGTCCTGTCCTCTGTATCTCAGCCTATATTCCCAGGCACCCAGGGTGTCACATTTTTAAACATCCAGAGACAAGACAGAGCTGTGGGCATTGTCCCTGCCTGCAGAAGAAGAAATGACAAGGTGTAGTAGGAGGCTTCTTGTTTGTTCCCGGCTGCCCAAACTCCCAAAATAACCACACAAAAACTGTATTAATGAAATCATTGCCTGGCCAATTACTTAAGCATACAGCTAGCTAGCTCTTACATCTAGAATTAACCCATCTTCATTATTTTATATTTTATCACAAGGCTTGTGGCCTACCAGTAAGGTTCTGGCGAGTCTGTCTCCCACAGAGGCTCCATGGCTTCCCTGACTCCACCTCCTTTCTTCCAGCATTCAGTTTAGTTTTCCCTGCTTAGCTTAATTCTATCCTATCATTGGCTCAAGATAGTTTCTTTATTAAGCTATGGTATTCACAGCATACAGAGGGGAATCCTCATGAACAAGATACATTTAGGAGACTGAGAGGCTGTGGCTGGAGGAGGAATTAGAAGCTTTCAACCAGCTCCAGCTGGTTGAAAGGACCCCAGGGACAATTACCCCTCCCCCACACACTTACCTACAACGTGAGCATAGCCTCCTTTTCCACCTGTGAGAAGAAAAGCTGTGAGAGACCAGGGAACTCCCCGACCCTAGGAAGTTTCCAGAACTGACAGCAGACCCAGGGTAGAGACAGCAGCAATGCGGGGTGTGGATGTGTTTCCCATTAATGAGGCAGAGATTCTTCTAAAAGGGGCAGAGAGAGAACTCAGACCCTGCCCTTTCCTACCTGTGTTTCTCCTCCTCTTCCTCACAACAGCCACCACAGCTCCAATGACCACAGCTCCAAGGAGAACTTGAAGAGCAATGATTACCATGATGAGGACTTTGGACCCTGGAGGCTCTGGGAAAGGAAGGACAGGAAGGGAAGGTGAGGGTCATGACCCCAGCTCTCAGCCCTGACCCTGCTCAGGGTCTGCAGAAGGCTCCAGCTTTCCCTGACCCCAGCTCTGCACCCACTCCCTCCTTACCCCATCTGAGGGTGAGGGGCTCAGGCAGCCCCTCATGGTGCACATGGCATGTGTATTTGTGCTCCTCCCCAGAAGGCACCACCAGAGATGCCCACTTCTGGAAGGTTCCATCTCCAGAAGGTCTGGTCTCCACCAGCTCCATGTCCTGAGTCTGTTCCTCTTCCTCCCTCAGCCAGGTCATGGTGATCTCAGCAGGGTAGAAGCCCAGGGCCCAGCACCTCAGGGTGACATCACCTTTAGGTCCAGGATGATGGGTCACATGTGCCTTTGGGGGGTCTGAGGAAAAGAGTTGTGAAGATGAGGCATCTTGCTTTCTTCTGGGGACTCAGCAGTGTTCATGTGGCCATTCTGGAAACAGGAAAACTGGACGGGATTAGGGTGTCCTGATATTAATAGACCCCAGCTAGAGCACAGGCCCCGGGGTCATGTGCTCTAGGGATGTTCTAATATGTGAGTGACAGTTTGGGGTAGGAGGCTTCAGGGCTCTGCAGACCGATGGAGGGGAAGGGATTCTGGTCCTGAGCTGAGTGCCCTTATTCCTCAGCCCGGTGCCTGCTGGACAGTGTTCTTCCTCTGAGTATGCCAGAGCCTTTCCCCACACTACTGAGGAAAAGCGAGGGTGAGTCTCCAGGTACCTGAGCGCAGCAGGGTCGCGTTCCCCAACTGCAGGTATCTATGGAGCCAGTCTATGCAGGGGCCCTGCAGGTAAGCTCTCTGGTGGTCGGCCTCGTCTACCTTCTCTGATTTGCGCTTAGAGATCTGAGAAGCTGCATCATTTGCGGTCCAGGAGCTCAGGTCCTCGTTCAGGGAGATATAATCCCGGCCATCGTAGGCCTCCTGACAGTATCCGCGGAGCAGGCGTCCATCTGGACCCATGTCACAGCCATACATCCACTGCAGAGTGTGAGGTTCTGGTAGGGACACAGTGGTTAGCGCCACCTTGTGGCACCCGTGCCCCCTGTTAGTGCGTCCTTAATCCGACCTTTCAGAAACGAAAGTGCAACCGAAACCTAAGCCAAACTCTGTGGGGTACTTCCTGTTAGAGGGTCTGGGCAGGTGTTTGGATGAAGATGACCCAAGCCTGTCTCAGGGGAGACGGAGGGGTCGTCTCTGTGATCGGGGCCGCGGTCACTCACCGTCGTCACTCTGATTGTAGTAGCCACGCAGGGTCTGTAGATTCCATTTGAAGTTCTTCCCTGTGTTCCTGGCTTTCCCTGTCTCCTTCTCCCAATACTCTGGCCCCTCCTGCTCCATCCACAGCGCCCGCGGTTCCATCCTCGGAGTCTCCGCGTCGCTGTCGAAGCGCACGAACTGCGTGTCGTCCACGTAGCCGACCGCGATGAACCGGGGCTCCCCGAGGCCGGGTCGGGACACGGCGGTGTAGAAATACCGCAGCGAGTGCGAGCCTGGGGGAGGTCAGCAGTGAGACACCGACCCTCATCCCGGGACCAGGGTCCCAGGCGAAGGCAGGGGAGACTCAGGCCTGGGCAGTAAGATACGTTTACGGGGTACTGCCCCCACCCGGCTCCCTGCTCTTTCCCGCAGAGTCTCCCCACCCCTTACTCACTAGCCTGTGTCTGGACCAGGACTATGGTGCTTGCCAACAGCTTGAGCCAGTAAGACGCAGACATTTTCCTCAGTACAGGGGCCAGTGAAGGGTGTAGATACGATTCCTGTCAACTGCTATACTTGGAACCTCTGTGTCACTGATTGGTTTCTCTAGAAACTCGGTGTCCAATGAGAACTGTGAGTGCATCATTTGTGTACGGAGAGAGGAACTCGGTGGGAGTTGAAAGTGGAACTGTGTGTACTGAAAACAGTGCCGGGCTTTGTTCTGGCGTCTTTGATAAAGAAAATGCTGTCAAAAGTCACTGCAGATCGAGGACTTTAAGGGGACCCATGTCCTCTTCACTCTGGGGCAGCTGTGAATGTTCTGGATAGTGTGGACACCTGGCCCCATAACCAGCCCTGCTAACCCGATACCGCCCACCCGCAGGAACAGTCCCCAAAACAAAGCAAAACTCAGACACCCACAGCCTCCTGTGGAATCTCGAACACTGGTATCAGGGGAGTTCAGGACCCTGCCCTAGGTCTTGAGGGGTTGTGATCCCTGATGCGGTAGTCACTCACCCTCCTGACTCTGGATGTAGAGGTGGAGCAGGTTCTGGAGGCAGGTTTGGAAATTCTGTCTGTGCTCCTGTGGGTCCCCAGTGCTCCAGCTCCTTCCGCTGGCTCCACTGTCTGTACTCAGGGCTCAATGCGTTTGAACTCCATTGTTGTCCGTGTAGCCTGAAGCAATAAAAGCGCTGGAGGGGGCAGGATGGCAGGACGCAGCTGTGGCAAAATAGGGAAGCAGAGCCTGGGAGCAGAGTGCAGTGAGATCCCGACCATCCTCGCTAGACAAACCTGGAAGAGATCTCTCTCTCTCTCATTGAGTTTTATTGAACTCTGCAGTTTCCTCTGCTCCCCTCCCTGCCTCTCCCCTCCCTTTCAACACTCTCCCAAGGTTCCCATGCTCCCAATTTACTCAGGAGATCTTGTCCTTTTCTACTTCCCATGTAGATTAGATCTATGTAAATCTCTCTTAGTGTCCACATTGTTGTCTAAGTTCTCTGGTATTGTGATTTCTAGGCTGGTTTACTTTGCTTTATGTTTAAAAACCTCCTATGAGTGAGTACATGTGATAATTGTCTGTGTCTGGGTTACCTCACTCAAAATAATGTTCTCCAGCTCCATCCATTTACCTGCAAATTTCAAGATGTTGTTATTTTTTTCTGCTGTGTAGTACTCCATGTGAAAATATACTACATTTTTCTTATCCATCCCTTTGGTTGAGGGACATTTAGATTGTTTCCAGGTTCTGGCTATGACAAACAAGGCTGCTATGAACATAGTTGAGCACATGTCCTTGTGGCACAATTGAACATCCTTTGGATATATACCCAAATAGGTATTGCTGGGTCTTGACGAAAGTTGTTTCTTAATTTTCTGAGAAATCACTACACTGACATCCAAAGGGGCTGTACCAGCTTGCATTACCCCCAGCAATGCAGAAGTATTCCTTTTACTCCACTGTAGGAACCTGTTCCTCCAAGGTCAGCTAGAGTCTCTGGATAGGGAATCCTCGAGGCCAAAGAAAACTCAGAAGAAACAGAAGACAGGATAGAATCGGGAGTTCTGTCTCGTCGTGCCAAAGCAGCCAAACAGCCCAGAGTTTATTTCAGAACTTGCTTATATACAAATGCAGAACAAAGCACAGCACAGATGGTCAGTCAGTATCTAACCACAAGATCATTGCTGTCCTTGAGTGAGCAGCCTCCTCTCCAACAGGTTCTTGCTGCTAGAAAGCAACCTTACATTCTGTCTTGATGTTCCTGAGGTTTGACATCGGTGGTATACTGTCTGTTAGATAGAGTGTTCTTTTCTCATGAGCTAAATCAGAAGTCTCTCATAGCCCTCAAGGTTATAAGAAAAATTAGAGCAGGCAAGCTTGAACTCAAGTTCAAGTAAGTTTAAGTAAGAAATGACTCTAGATGGAAACACATGGTCTCCCACATCCTACATCCTCTTCAGCATAAGCTGTCATCAGTGTTTTTAATCTTGGCCATTCTTACAGGTGTAAGATGGAATCTCAGAGTTGTTTTGATTTGCATTTCTCTGATGACTAAGGATGTTGAACATTTCCTTAAGTGTCTTTCAGCCATTTTAGATTCTTCTGTTGAGAGTTCTCTGTTTAGGTCTGTACTTCATTTTTTATTGGATTATTTGTTCTTTTAACAACCAGTTTCTTGAGTTCTTTGTATATTTTGGAGATCAGACCTCTGTCTCATGTGGGGTTGGTGAAGATCTTTTCCCATTCTGTAGGCTGTCGTTTTGTCTTGTTGAACATGTTCTTTGCTTTACAGAAGCTTTTCAGTTTCAGGAGGTCCCATTTATTAATTGTTTCTCTCAGTTTCTGTGCTACTGGGGTTATATTTTGGAAGTGTTCTCCTGTGCTAATGAATGTGTCCAAGTGTGCTTCCCACTTTCTCTTCTATGAGAGTCAGTGTAGCTGGCTTTATGTTGAGGTCTTTGATCCATTTGGACTCGAGTCTTGTGCATGGTGATAGATATGGTCTATTTTCATTCTTCTACATGTTGATATCCAGTTATGCCAGCACCATTTGATAAATATGCTTTCTTTTTTCCATTTGATATTTTTTGCTTCTTTGTCAAAAATAAGGTGTTCGAAGGTATGTGGATTAATATCAGGTTCTTTGATTCAGTTCCATTGGTCCTCCTGTATGTTTTTATGCCAATACCAGGCTGTTTTCAGTCCTGTAGCTCTGTAGTAGAGTTTGGAGTCAGGGACTGTGATGCCTCCAGAAGTTCTTTTATTGTACTGGATTGTTTTGGCTATCCTGGGTTTTTTGCTTTTCCATATAAAGCTGAGTACTGTTCTTTCGAGGTCTTTGAAATATAAAACTGGGTCTCTGTGTGATTACGTAATGCATGATTTAAAGATGAAAAAACTAAATCAAGGGATAATTAACTGGGATTGACATATTATTATTCATCATTTTGATAGTCCTTGTTGTTTTTATAATTCTTGGTTTATCTCTTAAAAAGTTGTTTGGTATGACTAACAAGATACAGGCCCTGGAAAAACTTAATAAAACAGATCATAGAGATATTCAGATTCAGACAAAGGAATTTAATGGAGAACCAATTTCAGCATTGCATTATAAGGTAAGAGAAGAACAGACTAAGTTTTTAAACAACCAACCTTAATATATCCAGTAACCTTGCAGGAATTGCCAAATGATAGAGGCTCTGTAAGAACTGATTGGACTCCTGTGTCCTTGTTAGACTTAAGGAGATTCAAGAAAGCAGGGATGGTGCAGTTCCCTGAGTGACTGCAGTAGGCCAGGAGGAGAGAAAGACAGATGGGAACGCCATGACACCACCTGGCAGGTCTCCAAAGGCGGCTGGTCCCCGGCAGGGAGAAAGGTGGTGGCAGGCAAGAATCAGAGACCTGGATAGGCACACCATTCAGAGTGAGGTTGTATATTTATTTGGTGGGTTATCGAGGGGAAAGGAAGAAGAGGAGAAGAAGAGAGATAGAGAGGGAGAGAGAGAGAGAGAGGAGGGAAGAAGAGAGATAGAGAGGGAGAGAGAGAGAGAGGGGAGGGGAGAGAGAAAAAAACAGAAGGGAGAAGGGGAGAAGTGGGGAGAATGGAGTGAGGCAGAAGCTGACTCTTCAGGGGACAGACAGAAAAGGGAAAAGGAAGAGACTCAGGTTGCAAGCAGGAAGATCTGCCTGCCTCAGTGGACGTGGCTTGTCTCTTAAAGAGACAGGATAGACCATTACAGCATGTATTTATCTTTTGTGAAGCAACTGTTAAACTCGTGATCAGTTTGTAATAGAATTATCTCTAAAGACTGGACAAACTTGGTTAAAGCTGATTTAGAGCCTGGTCCACAATCACAGAGGAGAACCTGGTTCAGAGAAGAGGCTAAGATTACTGAACAACAGAATTAAGCTAGAGGTAGGGAAATCTCCCAAGACCAACTTCCTGGCGAAGGAGACTGTGCTACTATAGAAAGGCAATCTTTCTAGGATGACCATGCTCTGGCTTTGTGCCGCGCAGCAGCTTTGAATGCTTGGGACAGAACTGGAGAAGTAGAACATAAAACTGAGTTCTCACCAGAACCCCAGTCTGAGGCTGTGGTCCTGGTGACTCACAGAAGGCATGTGTGGTTTCTAGAGCTGGGGACAGGCTGGGCAGGTGAATGGGAGGGGGCCAGCCTGGCAGGTTCCACTACTGGATCTTCAACCTGCAGGTATCAGATGGGGCCCTGGAACAAAACCCCTGCTTTATTCATCCACCAAGAAACCATGGCGGAATGAAGAACTGTGCTCCCTGGGCAGTGGTTTTAGTGCCTTAGTCTATGGTTTTCGTGACCTTTAGTTACCTGAGGCCTGAAGATAACAAGTCACACATTACAGTCATAAAAAATATTGCATTTTATGTTTTGACCTTTCTGCCTACTGACATCTAATCTGCTCTCTAGTTTATGCCACCTGGCACAGGCATCATTCTCTGTCCATGTCCACCCCGTGAACACTGCAGAGGGCATAGGCACTCAGGGGCCAACTCAGTTTCAGATCCACTGTCCACACCAGGCCCCGTCCTCCTCCCTCCTCTCATCAGCTCCTGAGTCCTCTCTCCTTACTAACAGTGTGAGTGCAGGGCGGCCAGTGTTGGGGTGTGGGGTTCATGCTTCGGGAAATTGTTCACTGCTTAATGTGCCTGATCTATTAGTTAAACTGGATCATAGGAGAGTCTGAACAGTAACACATGGAATGTGGGCATCCTTCACTGCTGGGCTGCATCCAGGCTCCTGCAGGGTAGGCAGACAGCTGCCTTGAAGCTATATTCTGGCTTCATATAAACTTAGGCTGTGGAAGGAAGTCCATGGTCCCCATCATGGCAGTCACTGCTGGTCTGGTTCTCCTTGGAGCTGTGATCATTGTAGCTGTGGTGGCTGTTGTGAGGAAGAGGAGGAGAAACACAGGTAGGAAAGGGCAGGGTCTGAGTTCTCTCTCAACCCCTTTTAGAAGTGTGCTCTACCTCGTTAATGGGAAACACATCAACACCCCTCATTGCCCCTGTCTCTAACCTGGATCTGCTGTCAGTTCTGGAAACATTGTTGGGTTGCAGTCTTTTCTGGTTTCTCAGAGCTTTTCTTCTCACAGGTGGAAAAGGAGGGGACTGTTCTCATGTTTTAGGTAAGTTTGGGGAGCTCTTACCCAGATAGCTTCCCCTTGGGTTACGATTAGAGGGATTCTGGGCCAGGGTTCAGGGAGACAATGTTATAGACAGGGCTCCCTTCAGTGGAAAGAGTCAGGACAAAATCCCAAGTCCTCAGAAGTGGCTTTCAGGTATGAAGACTGAAGGAAGGTGGAGGTTGGGTTGGGAAGTATAGACTTTTGGTTTCACTTCTTGCTGTGTTGTTGTGTCAGGTGACTTCCTACTCCCATGGACTCCGAGAGAAAAGTCTAGAAGTCTCTGTGAAGACAGTTACAAACTAACGACCATTCTTTGGTTCCCCCAAACCCTGAAGATGGGCATCCCTGTGCTCTGTTTGCTCCTACTGCTGGCTGCTGCCCAGGGCTCCGCCCAGATACAGGCAGGTGAGTACCAAGTCCTGAGGGCTGCAGTCTTAGTGCAGAGGGGCGGGGTTTGCACCCCGAAAGCCGCTTTGCCCAGCCAGACCCTCCTGCCACTTCTCCACTCTGCTTTCTGTTCCCGTCCCGGCCTGCGCACTTGTCCGGGGTCCCCGGATGAGGGTCTCACCGCGCTCTGCCTCCAGGCTCACACTCGCTGCGGTATTTTGCCACCGCTGTTTCCCGGCCCGGCCTCGGGGAGCCCCGGTTCATTGTCGTGGGCTACGTGGACGATACGCAGTTCATGAGCTTCGACAGCGACGCGGAGACCCCGAGGGCTAAGCCTTGCTTACCGTGGGCGGAACAGATGGGGTCGGAGTACTGGGAGGGCCAGACGCTGAAATTCAAGAAGGACACACAGAATTTTCGAAAGTGCCTTCAGAACATGCTCCACCGCTACAAACAGAGTCAGAATGGTGAGGTCAAGACCCCTCATGGCCCCACAGATGGACCTGACTCAACCCTAATCCTAGTGTTTGAGATTCCGCAGGAGGCTGTGGGTGGGTGTCTTGACTTTTGCCTTAGGTTTGGGGACTGTTTCTTCGGGTGGGCAGTATCGGTGTGGGCCCGACTGAGTACAGAACGGGGCGGGCCAGGTTCCCACACTATCCAGGACATGCATGGCTGCTACGTGGGACCAGATGGGTGTTTTCAACGCGGACACTATCAGCATGCCTATGATGGCCATGATTACATCACCCTGAATGAGGACCTGAGCTCCTGGACCGCAGCAGATGGAGTGGCGCAGAACACTCAACGGGAGTGGGAGGAGGCTGGTGTGGCAGAGGTATACAGGGCTTACCTGGAGGGTGCGTGCGTGGAAACACTCCGCAGATTACTGGAGTACTGGAAGAAAACTCTTCAATCCTCAGGTAAGTGGTGCGTGGAATAATCCTCCCTCTGCACCCTTGCTGGGGCTGTTTTCTCCTAGTCAGGAAAGACAAAGCAACAGCTAGACTAGAATATTCTTTCTCTCCAGCTCAGGATGGAGCAAGCCTTCTGGTTTTCTTGAGTCAGTATCATAGGGTGGCTCTCCCCTTGGCTCACCCTTCTTCCAGAGTAGTTCAGGGTCTGTTTCAGGATAAAGTAGGAAGGTGCCTGGAATGACCAGCAGCAGCCCCTGTGAGCCATGGCCTCTCTCAGGCCTGATCCCCTGCTGACTCCAGTGACACCAAGTCTCTGAGTCCCACCCAGTCAGGAGCAGGAGTTCCTTTCTCAACAGGTGGTGAGATTCCCAAAGAAAAGATGATCTACATGGCTTCAGGGGGATTCTGCCCCAGCCTGCACCCCGCTTTTCTGTCCCTTTCCAGGATTGATCACATAGGTACCTGGAGTCCCCAGGAAGAATGCAAAATGCCCGATCTTTCCAACTCTTTCCCTCAGACCCTCCAGAGACACATGTGTCCCATCATCCCAGATCTAAAGGTGATGTCACCCTGAGGTGCTGGGCCCTGGGCTTCTACCCTGCTGATATTGCTATGACCTGGCAGAGAGATGGCAAGGAACAGATACAGGATATGGAACTAGTGGAGACCAGACCTGCAGGGGATGGAACCTTCCAGAAGTGGGCAGCCATGGTGGTGCCTTCTGGGGAGGAGCACAAATACACATGCCATGTGGACCATGAGGGTCTGCCTGAGGCCCTCACCCTGAGATGGGGTAAGGAGGGAGTAGGTGCAGAGCTGGGGTCAGGGAAAGCTGGAGCCTTCTGCAGTCCCTGAGCAGGGTCAGGACTGAGAGCTGGGGTCATGACCCTCACCTTCCCTTCCTGTCCTCCTCTTCCCAGAGCCTCCTCAGTCCATGGTCCCCATCATGGCAGTCATTGCTGGTCTGGTTCTCCTTGGAGCTGTGGTGGCTGTGGTGGCTGTTGTGAGGAAGAGGAGGAGAAACACAGGTAGGAAAGGGCAGGGTCTGAGTTCTCTCTCAGCCCCTTTTAGAAGTGTCTCTGCCTCATTAATGGGAAACACATCCACATCCCTCATTGCTCCTGTCTCTAATCTGGATCTCTGTTGTCAGTTCTGGAAACTTCCTAGAGTCAGGGACTTCCCTGGTCTCTCACAGCTTTTCTTCTCACAGGTGGAACAGAAGGGAACTATGCTCCGGCTCCCAGTAAGTGTGGGGGGGGCAGGATTGTTTCTGAGACCCTTGGAATGTATTTGGAGCTGGTGGACAACTCAACCAGCCCCTAATTCCTCCAGCCACATCCTCTCAGTCTCCTGAGAAAGTTCCTTGTTCTTTCTTCTTCTGCAGGCAGGGGCAGTGCTCTGAGTCCTGTCTTATCTCTGGAGGCTTGAAAAGGCGACACCCTGGGCTGTTGGGAACTGTGGATTTACTTTTTTTTCTCCTTTTTCTTTGTTGAGGTTTTGAGATGAGATTTCTCTGTAGCGTTGGAGCCTGCTAGGACTTGCCAGATAGCCCAGAATGGCCTTGAACTCACAGTTCTGCCTCCCAAGTGCTGGGTTTAAAGGCACTTGCCACCACCGCCAGACTGGAAACTCAGAACTTTCTAAATAAACTTTATATGCAATAACATGAGTTTTCCAAGACTAATACTTTGTTTAAACATTAAAATTTTACTACAATTTCATTACATACATTGCCTTTAAATGAACTATGTTTTAAAAAATTAAATTACCTTTAGTAACATACTATATTTTGTAAACAAAGACGGATTTGTATAAAGGCAGAAAAAGAACTTTTTAATGGCAGATGATAATTAAAAAATACCATATAGGAATTCCATTAAACGTGCTACTGGAGTGGCTATCTTTGACTCTTTCACTGGCTTTTGGGATCCTACTCCTTATACTTGGCCCTTGCCCAGCTTTGACACATGGGGAGGTGCTTAGTCTTACTGCAACTTGATATGCCATGTTTTATTGATACTCATGGGTGACCTGCCCTTTCCTGAATGGAGATAGAAGAGGAGAAGACTTGGGAGGGGAAATGATATCTGGAGTGGATGGGGGGAGGGAATGATGGAAAGGGACAGTGGGGGGAGACTATGGTTGGGATGTGAAATAAATAAATGAATTTAAAAAATGTGATGCTGGTGTAATGGGAATTCCCTGGTTTTCTTTACCTGGCTTGTAAACATGAATGTCAAATTTATGGAGTGTATCATCAGCCAAGACTTTTGTTAACTCATGTATATTTACAGCTTCTATAAAGAAGTTTATATAAAGTAAAACAATAATAAGTAACTATCCTAAGCAAGATAATTTTGCTCATTTCATATGATATTTTCCAAAACAATAATAAATAATAATAAATGTGTTCAATCAAAAAGAGCTTTATTATATAGATGCTGTCAAGAAATACTCTTATGTCTGATTCTTACATCTTTTGTTGTCCCAAGTTTTAAGTTATTTTTGTCCAAAAAAAAATTTTTTTTTGTAAAAAAGAAAATAGCTGGGCTGGAGAGATGGCTCAGTGGTTAAGAGCATTGCCTGCTCTTCCAAAGGTCCTGAGTTCAATTCCCAGCAACCACATGGTGGCTCACAACCATCTGTAATGAGATCTGGTGCCCTCTTCTGGCCGGCAGGCAGACATGCAGGCAGAACAACTGTATACAATTAAAAAAAAAAAAAAAAGCAAGGCCTAGGTAAGTATGGACAATCCAGGAGACAGCCAGCAGGAACTTGATCCCTCTCCAGCTGCCCTATGAGGAAGCCATATCTCATGTGACCCCAGCTCTCCTGAAGCCTTGAGACAACACAGCAAGATGACAACTGAACTGTGACCCGGGAGAGGTCATGAGCCAGGGTCACTCACTCAGAGATTCTTGGGGTCTCACACTGTAGGAAGTAATGAATGGTTGGTGTCTCCAGATGCTGAGCTTGGCTGGTCTGCTAAAGGCAACAGAAGCTAAGGGCAACAGATAATTGAGAAGTGGAATTCTCCCACAACCCTCCCAACCCTCCTGGGGAGTTCGAAGACTCTGAGCTGAAGCCCCAGCTTTTGAAGATCAAAGACGGGGAATTATCCGACCTTTCCATCCGTCCTAAGCTATTCACTTCTCCAGCTCCTAAATTGGGTCAGTCTTCTAACCGGACACTGATGACAACTTGGCCGTTCTAACCCCCCCATTGAGTGGCGGGATCCTGGAGAACCAACCACCGGTTAGAAAGTCCACGCAGACCGCGGAACTCAGAGTAGCCCCAGATCTGAGATGGGGGCGATGGCACCGTGCACGCTGCTCCTGCTGCTGGCCCTTGCCCTGGCCCCGACCCAGACACACGCGGGTCGGGAGGAAAACCAGGTCTGAAGGGAGGGCGGGGGCGGCACCGGGGAAGCCGCGTCCCCCCGCGTGGCCCAGCCGGATCCTTCCGCCCCTTCCCCACCTGCGCCCTGCTCCCCTCCCCGCCCACGCTCCTGTCCTGGGGGGTCCCGGGAGCAGGGTCGGGGTCTCACCGCGCGCCGCCCCCAGGCTCGCACTCCATGCGGTATTTCTACACCATCGTGTCCCTGCCCGGCCTCGGGCAGCCCTGGTTCATCTCTGTCTGCTACGTGGACACGTAGTTCGTGCACTTCGACAGTAACATGGAGACTCAGAGGAACCGAAGGAGCCGTGGGTGGGGCAGGAGGGGCCGGAGTATTGGGAGGAGGAGACACCCCAGCAGACTATTCGAGGGAACCTGCAGGCCCTGTCTGTACTACAGGCATAGCTATGAAGGTGAGTGACCACGGGTGACCTCAGAGTCGCCAAAGGCCTCAGTTGCAAGGGTTCCATGTCCCAGGTTCTGCTCAAGACTGGGGACTGGTTTCCTATGAGGCCCTGTGTGGGTGGGGCCGTGAGACAGGGTTGACCTCGGGGATGGACCAGTCTCTTACACCATCCAGGTGATGTCTGGCGGTGATGTGGATTGGAATGGCAGCCTCCTCTGTGGATATGACCGATTCGGGTGTGACGGCCAGGATTACCTCTCCTTGAACAAGGAGCTCCTAAGACGTGGATATCTGTGGACAAGGCTGTGCAGATCGCAAGTCTGGAGTTGGAGCAGAGAGATACAGGGCCTACCTGCTTGGCGAGTGTGTGGAAACCCTCTGTAGATACCCGGAGAACAGGGACGCGACTGTGCAGGCAGGTGCGAGGGGCCAAGGGCAGTTCTTCACTCTGCTCTCGGGGTGGGGCTCAGTCCTGAGGGTAAAGAAACCCCGGAACAGGGGTCATGCCCCTGCCTCTTCTTGTGTTTAATTTTTTAAAAACTTTATTACAAAAAAATTTAAAAGACAAACAAAACAAAACAAAACACACACTCCAAAATTAACCAGAACAAGTCTGTACCTCTCAGTGAAGTTCTATACAATTTGATCAGCCATTCTGAACCAGTTTTGTTCACTGTGGATCTTACACATTCACTATAAAATGTATTTTTATGCACTTATTCAGCATCAGCACAAAAAGCACCTATGACAGATTCAGTGTAGGCCCATATTTCTACACGAATGTCCACCAGTGTAACACCCGAATCTGTATTACCCTCTCAGTACAGGTCGCGCGCCTCCGTAACTTACGTGAGTTTGGGCAAAGGCCTGGAGATTGAACAAAGACACAAGAGACCAGAGACAAGAGATCACTGAATGCCACTTTATTCAGCTTAATGCAAAGCTAATATATCTTGGCCCCAGTAAAGGAATTCCCTCCCAGCCAGAGGGGAAACTGGCGCTGTAGGGATAACTTCCCGAGCAGGGGGTTGGGGGTGAACAGCAGCGGAGAGAGAGAACTTGGCACCGTGTAGGAATTCTCCTGGGCAGGTGGGAAATTACCATACCAAAGATGAACAAAGCCCTACAGCTAAATCACCAGGCTATGGCAGAGTGAGCACAGGAGCAAAGAGGTTGCTAGCTGGGTGGCCAGAAGCCTCCTAGAAATTCGCCCTGAGGAGGAAGGAGAGACCAGACCCAACAACCAGAATCCCAGGTCACAGTTTGCACCTGCCACACAGGAGGTGGTCACCTCCCTAACAAGGGGTCAGGGTATGCTAATGCTGTTCTGTTCCTTCTTTGTAATTCGGAAGATGCCTGGGCTAGAGATGCTAATTTAGCCTATGTAACAGTGCTGGCGTACAGAGCAGGAAGATGAGACATGACAAAATGGGCATAGAAAGGCGTGGTCAAAGGTGTGGACATAACCAGAGACATTCTCCTGGTTACCTACGAAAGAGGATGCTAATGAACCCCCCCCCCCCCAGTTTATGTTTTGGTATATAAAGCTGTTTGGAGAATAAACGAGAGAAATTTTTAGGATGTGAACTCAGGATTTCATGAGGGATCACTGAGAATCTCCCTCCCAATAAAGCCATGTGAGTTGTATCTTTAATTCCATGCTTTCCCTCTGGTCCTGGAAAAATAATTTAGGGTCTGGGCTGGCAATGGACCCCGACAATTTAGAACTAGAAAATAATCATATTTATATCCTGTTTCCCAACTCAAGCCCATAACTTACATCTAGTCCTTCCTCAGTCCCTGGTATTTGGCCTTGCTTGTTGGCTTTTTTGTGACTTTATACTGTGCCCGCTTGTACATTTGTTTACATACATACAATAATGGCTAAATCCCGCTTATTAGAAAAACTATGTAATCTTTTGGGGGTGTCTTTTTTTTATTTTGGTTTTGCTTGTTTTGGATTGGGTTTGTTTTTGTGTTGAATTTTTAGTTTTTTTTTTGTGGGGTTTCTTTGTGTAGCCCTGGAAGTCACTCTGTAGACAAGAGAGAAGGATGGTCTCCTGAGATCATAGAGCTCCACCTGCCTCTGCCTCCAGAGTGCTGGCTTTAAAGGCATTCCCCACCATGCATGGTGTGTAGTCTTTTTCTTCTCTAAGATAACTGTCTATTCAGTCCCCTCACCCATTTGTTTATTAGTGAGTTCCTTGGTATTTAGTTTCTGCAGTTCTTTCTAAATTGAGGACTCCAGTCCCTTGTCGGCAGGTTTCCTCCTGCTGTCGCTTCTGTTCCCTCTGCTGATTGTGTCCTATGCCATGGAGAGACTTTGTTTTCATGCTGATGTGTGACCTCATTAGCTCCTGTGATATTGCTGTTCTGTCCTAAGTTCTTGCCTATCCCAGTATCTGGAAGGGCTTCCCCTAGGCTGTCTTCTTGAATTTTGGGTGTTTCAAGGTCTGAACTTAATAAAGTCCTTGCTACATTTGAGTTCATCTTTGTAGAAGGTTAAAGATGATGCAAACCTTTAAGACCAGCACCTAGAGGGCAGAAAGTGAAATCTCTGTCTTCGAGGCCAGCCTGGACTGAGTTCCAGGACAGCCAGATTATCTAGAGAAACACTGTTTCAAAGAGGGAGAGAGAGGAAACAAGAAAAAGAAAAGAAGAAACAAAAAAAAGATGAAACTATAAGCTCATCTGAGGTAGAAGCCCAGTATCGCAGCATTGTATCCAGATGGGATTTTCCCCAGCGTTTTAGATTCTTTGTTTAAACTAAGTAGCACAGTTTTGTCACTCTGTATCTGGGAACTCTGTTCTGTCCTTTGATTTTCCTGTCTACTTCATGTCAGTCCCAGGCTACCTTTGTCCCTATAGCTCTGCAATATAACTTGAGGTTGGGATTGTGAGACCCCCAGCTGTGTTCCTAACCCTTAAGAGAGTTTGGCTATTTGTGGTCTTTGGTGATTCCATATGATTTCTTGTATTTTTCTCTAGAAATGTGAAATATATCAGAATTGTATAATGTTAAATTAAATCTGTAGATTAATTTTGACCATTTTCACAATGTTAACTCTGTCAATTCAGGAGCATGAACTGTGTTTC